TCGGTTCAATATTCCAATCACCTGAAGAAGGCCGGAGCGTACAACGGCCGAAATGTTGTGAATATGTCAATGAAGATGAGGATAACAGTCCGAATAATGTAAATAATGTAAGTAATCATAATACCTCATCTCAGAGATATAGACAGATATTGAGCAATCGATATGTTTCTGGGACATCCGTGAAATTTTTCTCTTTAACCCTTTCTTGCTTCACAGGGCGTGGGTGGAAACACGTATTTGAGTAGATGTTCCGTTTTTTTTTTAAAGGATGCAGTAAGGTCTGATCAATTAGTATCAGAACTGGTGCTATAAAAAGAAAACTACAAAACATATCAATTCTACATTTAATCTCCTTCGAAGTAGTACCCCTTCTGAAAACACAGATATTATCCAGCGTCGTTTCCATTAATGGACACACACACACACACATGTATGTATAAACACACACACATGTATGTATAAACACACACACATGTATGTATACACACACACACACACACACACACACACACACACACACACATACACACATATATATATATATATATAAGTTCGTTGCACTCTACTTTGCCAAATATTAAAGATGTCTTAGAAATGACTTTGATGTAGCCGGTTAACGCTATCGACGCAAAAAATGAGATTTGCTCTATTAATGACGACATAGAATAACCATTTTAGAAGAAGGATTATTTTGAATTAAAAACCAACCTAGGGAGAAACGGGATCCCTTAGGCTATTATGCCTTAGATACACCCACTGCTGCCACAGCTACAGTACATCCTAATATGCTATCAGACTTGTGATGATGTTCATAACTCATCTTTTTCTTGTGGGCCTTGTGTAAAACTGTATATTACTGCTGGTTTTAAATTTCCCGTTTTTTTTTCTTTTGCTGACAAGCTTATTCCATTTTTCTATCGACATGGCATTTTCTTCTCTTTTACAGGGTTTCATCCTCAGCCTGACAACTTTATTAGTTTTTACATGTTCTCCGCTGACACTCGCTGTGAAAGGCGTTAACTCACAGGTAGGTAATTTTTCAAAATCATTAATCTAACAAGGGGGTTCTCAAAGCGGTCGGGCGAAATGGGGTGGTGGTCGGTGGAACTATTCAGTGGGTAGATGAATGCGTTGGGGGCAAGAAGAAGGTTAATAAATAAATCATGGTGACTTACAACTAAAACTGACCAATTTCCAACCAAATATCAATCCCCTTGCTACACCTCATCAAACACACCCTTCCCGTTAATGCCAACTATGTGTATAATACGACATCGTAGTATAACCATCTCTATTTAAATTGCTTTTGAAAAGTTATCCAATATTATCCATTTAAACCTCAATGACGTACATATATTTCACTAAAATATTTAATTTTTCATGATATTAAAAAATAGAGATGAACCGGATGTATAGACGTTGTGCGTTTCTTCTCATTTCCGGATCAAATCTCATTTTCGAAAGTGCTAACTAGACATGCCCGGGAATACATTTTAAGATGCTAATTAATCTATCATACTTTTCCGTTTTACTTGCAACTTTGGCCGTCTTTTTTTTGATGGGACGGGTCTTTCTTAGGATATTTTTTCGTTTAATGATTGAAAAAAATAGAATTCTTTCTTAAATGCGACAATAAAGTTGTGGATAGAAATCCTAGATTTAAATATGGCCGTCACTTTTTTTCTACGCGACGGGACGTGTTACCTTTCTTTAGCTACTTTTATTTTTAATGATCTAAAACCTCAAATTCTTTCTTACATACGCCAATGGAGTTCATTGTATAGATAATAAATTCTTTGATTACACCTGCAGAAAATATACGCAAAGGAAGCAAAATTATTTAAACATGACCATCTTAGCTTTCTTTTGATATTTTTTCTTTTAATGATTAAAAAACAAGATTCTTTCATACGTGCGAAAACCGATTTAATTGTAAAGGTAAAAATACCAGATTAGTAATGCAGAATATATTACCAATGAAATTGTAAAATTAAATATAAAAGTTTTTTATAGGATGGGTAAACTAGTTTTATTCATAAAACCAATTCCAGATAATATTCACTGCCATAAATAGTTTTTGTTATTTTTTTTATTTGTCATAGAATTTTTTTATCAATTCTTTTCCTTTTATTTTTACTTTTTCTTTCTTTTTCTTTTCTACCCTTTTTTTCTTTACTTTTCCTTTTCATTTTACATTCCTATATTTCTTTTACTTTTTTTTATTTCCTTTTATTTGAATTCTTTTTTTTATTTTGTTTCTTGTTTTTTTCTTTTCTTTTTCTTTCATTTTTGTCTTTCTTTTTTCTTTCGTTTCTTTTTTCTTCTCCCTTTTTCTTTTCTTTTGTCATTTTTCTATTTTTTTTTTTTTCGCTTTTTCATTTTCATTTATTTCTTGTTCTTTTTGGAATTGTATATATAATAAATTTACATTACCCCTGCAGAAAATATAATCTATGCAACTGCAAAATTATATAATATATATATATATATATATATATATATATATATATATATATATATATATTTCAATAAAGGTGCAATCAATTTACAAATTCATGAATTATTCATACAAAAAACAAATACAAAGGTTAATGATTCTCGCCAATTAAATCATTAACCTTTGTATTTATTTTATGAATAATTATATTTATATATATATATATATATATATATATATATATATATATATATATATATATATTATTATAAAAGAAACAGATAACTTTAAGGTTTCATGATGATTATAATTTATTTCCTTAGGATCGAGATTCTAATTTCACAGATCAACTATTTTCATATAAATTTATTATTTGTTATTTGGTTGAAAATGGTCGATCTGGGAAATTAGAAATAAATTATAATCATCATGAAACCTTAAAGTTATCTGTTTTTTAATAATAATTAATATTTGCTCTGTTTTTATATTGAGCTCTCTGGATTATATCCTCCTTGGAATTATCCATACGGATTACCAAAACACATATATATATATATATATATATATATATATATATATATATATATATATATATATATATATATTTTCGGATTACAAGACGCACTTTTTTTCCTAAAAATACCCTGAAAAATACGTGTGCGTCTTCCAAGGCGAATGTAAGGCAACGTCCAGGCTCAAGTAAGCTGGACGGTTACCTAATTGGCTTGACTGATAGGGACGTGGATTTATATGTTGAGTCGTTACGCTATAATATTAGCTATCTATCTAATTCAGCCCCTTATATGATGTAACCTCAGTACTTAGATGTTACAAGTATTTTTGAGACTATAAACCTTCCTGGAGCCGAGCCACAAGCTTAAACATGCTGTGTTTACTAGGAGCAGCGGGAATCTTTCTGCTCTTCATCTTGATGGTATAGGTTTGCTCACATTCTTATGTCGTGAAAATATCAGTTACCACCAGGCTGTCACACGTATAAGCATTTTTTGTCCTGGAAATTATTACCCATGGCGAGTTCATCAAAACGATTTACTTATATTATCTCATACAAGCTACAAGTTGTAGGATATGCGAAAGAATATGGTAAGAGAGTAGCAGAAAGATATTTTGGGTCACCGCCTACCGAAAAAAATGATTTGGCAGTGGAGGAAACAAGAAGAAGGATTGAGTGAAGTTGGAAACGAGACAAAGCACAATTTACATCAAGTACCAGCAAAATGGCCGCAGTTAGAAAGAGATTTGTGTACTTGGATAATGGAAAACAGAAACTTGGGGGCTGCAGTTAATATGAAAATGATAATCTTTGAAGCAAGAAAACTCGCAACGAACATGGGTGTAAAAGACTTCAAAGGCATTATATCTTGGTGTCTTTGGTTCATGAAGTGAAACAAGTTATGCTTACAAACAATAACTAAAATATCTAAAAATAAACGCCAGGTGACGATGAACAGAAAATAGTGACTTTCCATCAATTTATCATTAATGCTAGAGAATAAGAACTCGTTCGAACTTTAACAGATTGGAAATATGGATGAAGTTCCTTTAACATTTGATCTTCTAATAAAAACATAGATGTGAGAGATACCAAAACGGTGATTATTAAAGGCACCGGTCATAAAAAGACTCAGTACACTGCAGTTTTAGCTTGTTGCGTTGATTTCACCAAACTAACACCATTTTGAAAAAAAGGAAAACATTGCCCAAGGAAAAATTGCAAGATGGAATCCATGTTATTGCGCAGCACAAAGGCTGAATGGATGAAATGGCAGTTGAAGTGTGGATGGAAAAAGTGTGGTTCAATCGTCCAGGTGGCCTACTACGAAAAAATGCATTGCTAGTAGCACAGACAACACTAAAAAAAAACTAGCAAGAGAAATGAACACAACATTAGCAGTAATTCCTGGTGGCTTTACTTCCCAGCTCCAGCCACTAGATGTGAGAATCATCAAACCATTCAAGAATAACATGTATGAAGAATGGTCTAAATGGATGGCAGAAGGAAGACATGAAATGACACCATGTGGAAGGATAAAACGCCCATCAATAGCTCAAGTGTATGAATGGGTGTTGAAACCTTGGAATGTATTAATACTAAAATTGTTGTAAAGACTTTCAAAAAGTGTGATATAAGTAATAACATGGATGGTAGTGAGGATCATTTATTGGACATGATTGACAGTAGTGATGACTCTGCAGTTGATAGTTTAGAGCTTTTACATGAATCCAGCAGTGACAAGTTCTTGGGATTTGAGGATGAAGATAAATTCTTTGATTGTTTTATATATATATATATATATATATATATATATATGCATATTTTAAAAATTCATTTTTATGAAAATAAAACCACCCTTGGACAATGAAAGATGTATAGTATATTTACTAACCATCAACTAGTATGTCATTGCCATACAAACGAAATCGGACGAGTGACTAATGTAAACAATACATGGCGCCAGTATGTGAGGGACATATGGTGAATGTTTTGTTGTATGAGAAAGACTTTCTTTTCTTAGAAATTTCTTTCCAATATTAGGGTGTGTCTTCCAAACCGCAGTGTCTTGTAAGCGGAAAATACGGAAAATATATATATATATATATATATATATATATATATATATATATATATATATATATATACAGTGAGAGAGAGAGTTTATCAAAAATGCTTTTAGAAACGTTGGGGGCGGGTTCCTCACACCAAAACAAGGACAAAAATCAATATAACCATACGTCCGCAAATCATTCGTTTTTGAGTCATTAATTTTAAAGAAAGTTTACGATACCTGGCCCTGTGTTTCATTGCCGACTATGTTACATTTGCCATTCGTGTACATTTGTGGCTAGTGTGTCTTCAACGTTTAACGTATATAGTAGTGAGTTAACTGAGAAATGTTCTATTTAACAATGGCAAGATATTCATATCGCGAGCAAGCAGATATAAATTTTACATACGGCAGCGCGAATGGTAATGGACGCGAGGCTGCACGGCTGTATCAAATTGCGTTTCCAGAGCGAAGACAGCGAGTCAATCCAACCTTTGCTGTTGTCGTCGCGTTGCTGTGACAGGAACTGTCGCACTACAAACTATGGATCGAGGAAGTCCGAGATCTACTCATATACCTGACCACGAAGAACATATTCTACAGACTGTTGGAGACGATCCAGGCATCAGCACACGTCAAGTGGCCCTAGCATGTCGTACATTTCATTGTACAGGATGGAGGGTGATTTAAGAGCAGCTCCTGTATCTGTATCTTTTGCAACGTGTGTTGGGTCTTTCGCCCTCTGATCACTCAATACGGGAGAACTTTTGCCGATGATTTATTGCACAAATTGCCGATCCGTTCTTGGTCTCTTCAGTCTTTATGGATGAGACAACATTTGGAATATGAAATTTATACAACCAACATTTATGGGAGGATCGGAATCTCCATGATACAATACAGGCTAGACACTAGCATCAGTTTACGATTAATGTGTTGGGTGGAATTGTAAGTGACTGTCTAGTAGGTCCTATATTCTCCCAGTACGTCTTACAGAAGCTGTTTACAGGGAATCTATATCGAACAAACATCCAGACCTGCTAGAGGATGCACTCCTGCTAATACGAGAGACGCGTGTAGTTCACGCATGATGGGGCTCCAGCACATTTTAGTCACATTGTTCGCGATGCACTGGCAGATATCTACCATGAAAGATGGATAGGTAGGCAGGCGAGGACAGGTTCCGGGGCTGCACGTCACTCGACCTCAATCTTTTGTGCCATAAGGACCTGCGAAAACATTGACACCGTCCGGGTGTATTTAAAAGGGTCCGCCAGTCATTGATGCATGTGTTGAAATAAGCGGAGGATATTTTGAACATTATTTATGAGTTGTGGGGGTGAGGTACAACGATGGCCTTTTTACCTTATTTTAATGTCAGGAACCCATCCCCAAACTTTGAAAAAAGTAAATATATATATATATATATATATATATATATATATATATATATCAAGACAGACATTCAAGTGATATACCTTGTTTTAATTTCAGGAACCCATCCCCAAAGTTTTGTAAAATATATATATATATATATATATATATATATATATATATATATATATATCAAGACAGACATACGAAGTGATATATCTTGATTTTTATTTTTATCTTATCACGTGTTGTTTCGTCATATTTTGAATTTGAATTCTTATCATAAGAAATTTGAACAGTTTCACAAGTGGCCTAATTCTTTCTTTTTCTATGACACTTGAAATACTTGCTTTTATTGACTTTTGAAAAATTCAAATTTAGAAATGTCTAAAACCTCAAAATGATTTATAAATGTCTATAACTCTCAAGATAAGATGACGGGGTAGCAAACACCTATGCTTATTGAAAAAAACACTTTACGCCCTTAAAATGATTCAACTGATTGATACTACTGAAAAAAATATATTATAAAGTTAATCTGATAGCTTAAGTTTAAAACAAAACAAACAAATTGCAAAATCCAGAAAGAAAATATAGGTCCAATGTAAAAAATCCCAGTGCACATAAAATGGCTAGAAAGCAACCGCAATATCGAACAGCCACACTGAAAACGTACCGATCCTATTAAAAAATATAGCGACATACATGCGTAGTGGGGCGATTGCAAATGGCCGCTCGCCGCGACCACGCGTGACATCGTCGCTTCCTAGCAACGTCGGCCATGTTGGATTTACACGCCAAACATGTACAGGACCGCTTTGCTCGGCGTGATAAGTGTATTCCCTCACTACAAAATGAAATATGTCAATCCGTAATCTTGAATCACCAACAGAAATATCCTATATATTTATCTCAAATATTTCTCAAAAATCAAATGTCTTTGGTCTTCAGTCATATATATTACTTCAAAGGTAATTTTTGTTGATACCCGTAATTGAAATAGACGCCCGTTTTTATTTTAAATGGTGTGT